TCCGCCTCAGCCTCAGCCTCAGCTCCGCCTCAACCTCAGCTCCGCCTCAGCCACAGCCACAGCCTCAGCTCCGCCTCAGCTCCGCCTCAGCCTCAGCCTCAGCTCCGCCTCAGCCTCAGCTCCGCCTCAGCCATAGCCTCAGTTCCACCTCAGCCTCAGCTCTGCCTCAGCCTCATCCTCACCTCAGCCTCAGCTCCGTCTCAGCCTCAGCCTCAGCTCCGCCTCAGCCTCAGCCTCACCTCAGCCTCAGCTCCGTCTCAGCCTCAGCCTCAGCTCTGCCTCAGCCTCATCCTCACCTCAGCCTCAGCTCCGTCTCAGCCTCAGCCTCAGCTCCGCCTCAGCCTCATCCTCACCTCAGCCTCAGCTCCGTCTCAGCCTCAGCCTCAGCTCTGCCTCAGCCTCAGCCAAAGCCTAAGCTCCGCCTCAGCTCCGCCTCAGCCACAGCCTCAGCTCCGCCTCAGCCTCAGCTCCGCCTCAGCCTCAGCCTCAGCCTCAGCTCCGCCTCAGCTCCGCCTCAGCCTCAGCCTCAGCTCCGCCTCAGCCTCAGCTCCGCCTCAGCCTCAGCTCCGCCTCAGCCTCAGCCACAGCTCCGACTCAGCCTCAGCCACAGCTCCGCCTCAGCCTCAGCCTCAGCTCCGCCTCAGCCTCAGCCTCAGCTCCGCCTCAGCCTCAGCCTCAGCTCCGCCTCAGCCTCAGCCTCAGCTCCGCCTCAGCCACAGCCTCAGCTCCGCCTCAGCCTCAGCTCCGCCTCAGCCTCAGCCTCAGCTCCGCCTCAGCCTCAGCTCCGCCTCAGCCTCAGCCTCAGCTCCGCCTCAGCCTCAGCCTCAGCTCCGCCTCAGCCTCAGCCTCAGCTCCGCCTCAGCCTCAGCTCCGCCTCAGCCTCAGCCTCAGCTCCGCCTCAGCCTCAGCTCCGCCTCAGCCTCAGCTCCGCCTCAGCCTCAGCCACAGCTCCGACTCAGCCTCAGCCACAGCTCCGCCTCAGCCTCAGCCTCAGCTCCGCCTCAGCCTCAGCCTCAGCTCCGCCTCAGCCTCAGCTCCGCCTCAGCCTCAGCCTCAGCTCCGCCTCAGCCTCAGCTCCGCCTCAGCCTCAGCCACAGCTCCGCCTCAGCCTCAGCCTCAGCTCCGCCTCAGCCACAGCCTCAGCTCCGCCTCAGCCACAGCCTCAGCTCCGCCTCAGCCACAGCTCCGCCTCAGCCTCAGCCACAGCTCCGCCTCAGCCTCAGCTCCGCCTCAGCCTCATCTCCGCCTCAGCCTCAGCTCCGCCTCAGCCTCAGCCTCAGCCTCAGCTCCGCCTCCGCCTCCGCCTCCGCCTCAGCCTCAGCCTCAGCTCCGCCTCAGCCACAGCCTCAGCTCCGCCTCAGCCTCAGCTCCGCCTCAGCCTCAGCCTCAGCTCCGCCTCAGCCTCAGCTCCGCCTCAGCCACAGCCTCAGCTCCGCCTCAGCCTCAGCTCCGCCTCAGCCACAGCCACAGCTCCGCCTCAGCCACAGCCTCAGTTCCACCTCAGCCTCAGCCTCAGCTCCGCCTCAGCCTCATCCTCACCTCAGCCTCAGCTCCGCCTCAGCCTCAGCCACAACCTCAGCTCCGCCTCAGCCTCAGCCACAACCTCAGCTCCGCCTCAGCCTCAGCCTCAGCTCCGCCTGAGCCTCAGCTCCGTCTCAGCCTCAGCCTCAGCCTCAACTGCGCCTCAGCCTCAGCCTCAGCCTCAGCCTCAGCTCCGCCTCAGCCTCAGCCACAGCTCCGCCTCAGCCTCAGCCACAGCCACAGCCACAGCCTCAGCCTCTGCTCCGCCTCAGCCTCAGCCTCAGCCTCAGCTCCGCCTCAGCCACAGCCACCGCTCCGCCTCAGCCACAGCCTCAGCTCCACCTCAGCCTCAGCCTCAGCCTCAGCTCTGCCTCAGCCACAGCCTCAGCTCCGCCTCAGCCTCAGCTCCGCCTCAACCTCAGCCTCTGCCACGGCCTCAGCCTCAGCTCCGCCTCATCCTCAGCCTCAGCTCCGCCTCAGCCACAGCCACAGCTCCGCCTCAGCCTCAGCTCCGCCTCAGCCACAGCCTCAGCTCCGCCTCAGCCTCAGCCACAGCCACAGCTCCGCCTCAGCCTCAGCCGCAGCTCCGCCTCAGCCTCAGCCGCAGCTCCGCCTCAGCCTCAGCCTCAGCCTCAGCCTCAGCCGCAGCTCCGCCTCAGCCTCAGCCGCAGCTCCGCCTCAGCCTCAGCCACAGCCTCAGCCTCAGCTCCGCCTCAGCCTCAGCCTCAGCTCCGCCTCAGCCACAGCCACCGCTCCGCCTCAGCCACAGCCTCAGCTCCACCTCAGCCTCAGCCTCAGCTCTGCCTCAGCCACAGCCTCAGCTCCGCCTCAACCTCAGCCCTGCCACGGCCTCAGCCTCAGCTCCGCCTCATCCTCAGCCTCAGCTCCGCCTCAGCCTCAGCTCCGCCTCAGCTCCGCCTCAGCCTCATCTCCGCCTCAGCTCCGCCTCAGCCACAGCCACAGCTCCGCCTCAGCCTCAGCTCCGCCTCAGCCTCAGTTCCACCTCAGCCTCAGCCTCAGCTCCGCCTCAGCCTCAGCTCCGCCTCATCCTCAGCCTCAGCGCCTCAGCCTCAGCTCCGCCTCAGCTCCGCCTCAGCCTCATCTCCGCCTCAGCTCCGCCTCAGCCACAGCCACAGCTCCGCCTCAGCCTCAGCTCCGCCTCAGCCTCAGTTCCACCTCAGCCTCAGCTCCGCCTCAGCCTCAGCTCCGCCTCAGCCTCAGCTCCGCCTCAGCCACAGCCTCAGCCACAGCCTCAGCTCCACCTCAGCCTCAGCCTCAGCTCTGCCTCAGCCACAGCCTCAGCTCCGCCTCAACCTCAGCCTCTGCCACGGCCTCAGCCTCAGCTCCGCCTCATCCTCAGCCTCATCTCCGCCTCAGCCACAGCCTCAGCTCCGCCTCAGCCTCAGCTCCGCCTCAGCCACAGCCACAGCCTCAGCTCCGCCTCAGCCTCAGCCGCAGCTCCGCCTCAGCCTCAGCCACAGCTCCGCCTCAGCCTCAGCCTCAGCCACAGCCTCAGCCTCAGCTCCGCCTCAGCCTCAGCCGCAGCTCCGCCTCAGCCTCAGCCTCAGCTCCACCTCAGCCTCAGCCTCAGCTCTGCCTCAGCCACAGCCTCAGCTCCGCCTCAGCCTCAGCTCCGCCTCAACCTCAGCCTCTGCCACGGCCTCAGCCTCAGCTCCGCCTCAGCCTCATCTCCGCCTCAGCTCCGCCTCAGCCTCAGCTCCGCCTCAACCTCAGCCTCTGCCACGGCCTCAGCCTCAGCTCCGCCTCATCCTCAGCCTCAGCTTCGCCTCAGCCACAGCCACAGCTCCGCCTCAGCCTCAGCTTCGCCTCAGCCTCAGCCTCAGCTCAACCTCAGCCTCAGCCTCAGCTCTGCCTCAGCCACAGCCTCAGCTCCGCCTCAGCCTCAGCTCCGCCTCAACCTCAGCCTCTGCCACGGCCTCAGCCTCAGCTCCGCCTCAGCCTCAGCTCAGCTCCGCCTAGCCTCAGCTCACTCCGCCTCAGCCACAGCCTCAGCTCCGCCTCACCTCAGCCTCAGTTCCACTCAGCCTCAGCCTCAGCTCCGCCTCAGCCTCAGCCTCAGCTCCGCCTCAGCCTCAGCCTCAGCTCCGCCTCAGCCTCAGCCTCAGCTCCGCCTCAGCCTCAGCCTCAGCTCCGCCTCAGCCTCAGCTCCGCCTCAGCCTCAGCCACAGCTCCGCCTCAGCCTCAGCCTCAGCTCCGCCTCAGCCACAGCCTCAGCTCCGCCTCAGCCACAGCCTCAGCTCCGCCTCAGCCACAGCCTCAGCTCCGCCTCAGCCACAGCTCCGCCTCAGCCTCAGCCACAGCTCCGCCTCAGCCTCAGCTCCGCCTCAGCCTCATCTCCGCCTCAGCCTCAGCTCCGCCTCAGCCTCAGCCTCAGCCTCAGCTCCGCCTCCGCCTCCGCCTCAGCCTCAGCCTCAGCTCCGCCTCAGCCACAGCCTCAGCTCCGCCTCAGCCTCAGCTCCGCCTCAGCCTCAGCCTCAGCTCCGCCTCAGCCTCAGCTCCGCCTCAGCCACAGCCTCAGCTCCGCCTCAGCCTCAGCTCCGCCTCAGCCACAGCCACAGCTCCGCCTCAGCCACAGCCTCAGTTCCACCTCAGCCTCAGCCTCAGCTCCGCCTCAGCCTCATCCTCACCTCAGCCTCAGCTCCGCCTCAGCCTCAGCCACAACCTCAGCTCCGCCTCAGCCTCAGCCTCAGCTCCGCCTGAGCCTCAGCTCCGTCTCAGCCTCAGCCTCAGCCTCAACTGCGCCTCAGCCTCAGCCTCAGCCTCAGCCTCAGCCTCAGCCTCAGCCTCAGCCACAGCCTCAGCCTCAGCCTCAGCCACAGCCACAGCCTCAGCCTCAGCCTCAGCCTCAGCTCCGCCTCAGCCACAGCCACCGCTCCGCCTCAGCCACAGCCTCAGCTCCACCTCAGCCTCAGCCTCAGCCTCAGCCTCAGCTCTGCCTCAGCCACAGCCTCAGCTCCGCCTCATCCTCAGCCACAGCTCCGCCTCAGCCTCAGCCTCAGCCTCAGCTCTGCCTCAGCCACAGCCTCAGCTCCGCCTCAGCCACAGCCTCAGCTCCGCCTCAGCCGCAGCCTCAGCCGCAGCTCCGCCTCAGCCACAGCCTCAGCTCCGCCTCAGCCTCAGCCTCAGCTCCGCCTCAGCCTCAGCCTCAGCCGCAGCCTCAGCCGCAGCTCCGCCTCAGCCTCAGCCTCAGCTCCGCCTCAGCCACAGCCTCAGCTCCGCCTCAGCCTCAGCCTCAGCCTCAGCCGCAGCCTCAGCCGCAGCTCCGCCTCAGCCTCAGCCGCAGCTCCGCCTCAGCCACAGCCTCAGCTCCGCCTCAGCCTCAGCCTCAGCTCCGCCTCAGCCCCGCCTCAGCCCACCTCAGCCCAGCTCCGCCTCAGCCTCAGCCTCAGCTCCGCCTCAGCCTCAGCTCCGCCTCAGCCTCAGCCTCACCCTCAGCTCCGCCGCTGCTCGGCCCCGGGACCGGAGTGCCGCGGCGCGGACCCAACGTCAGGCTTCAGTGTGACTTCAGCCGCTTCAAAACTGCAGCGTTCAGCCGCTTTCAGTGGCTTTTTACCCCTTAAATGGCGAGATTTAGGTATGTGATTCTCCCCCACAATCAGCGCATTGGATACCGTGTACTTTGTCAAAGTATTTGCTGAGACTGAATTGATTGTGTTCGGTCGCTATGGCGATCACCATTCAATATTACAATGCAATACATTTGTGTAGCGCGGGTGGGGCGGGGGGGGGGGGGGGTCAGGGGGGTGGGAGGGTGGGATGTGGGAGGGGGGTCAGGAGGGTGGGAGGGTGGGGTGTGGGGGGGGTCAGGGGGTGGGAGGGCGGGATGTGGGAGGGGGGTCAGGGGGGTGGGAGGGTGGGGTGTGGGGGGGTCAGGGGGGTGGGAGGTGGGATGTGGGAGGGGGGTCAGGAGGGTGGTCAGGAGGGTGGGAGGGCGGGATGTTGGAGGGGGGTCAGGAGGGTGGGAGGGTGGGGTGTGGGGGGGTCAGGGGGTGGGAGGGCGGGGTGGGGGGGCAGGGGGTGGGAGGGCGGGGTGGGGGGGGCAGGGGGTGGGAGGGCGGGGTGGGGGGGGCAGGGGGGTGGGAGGGCGGGGTGGGGGGGCAGGGGGTGGGAGGGCGGGGTGGGGGGGGCAGGGGGGTGCCCAAAGGCTGGATTGAAGAGGAGGGTCTTGAGACTGCCTTGAAAGAAGGGAGGGGGCGAACAGGCAATGTGGGATGAAGTACCAAAGTGGGTGCAGAGAGGCTGAAGACCTGACTGCCAAAGGTGGGGCTGGGCGGGGGACATGGAGCCGGCCAGAGACTGGGTGGGGCAGGGCCATGGAGGCAAGGACAAGGATTTTGAACTGTATCCTATGGGGGATGGGAGCCAGTGGAGCCGGGCAAGGTTGTGGGTGATGGGGTCACGGAGCCTGGTGTGGGAGAGGTCACGAGCTGCAGTGTTCTGGACGTCATGATTTGCAGCTTGTGGAGGGAAGAGTTGGGAGAGCAGGGAGTTGGGCAGTCCAGTCCAGCTATTATGAACATGTGAACAAGGGTTTTGGACGGCCTGAGGGGTGAGGCAGTGGCGGAGCTGAGCGATGTTGCTGAGGTAGAAAGAACAGCTGAGGGTCATACAAGATGCCAAGGTTCCGGACTGGCGTGTTGAGGTGGAGTGTGCATCGTTAGACGGTGATGCTGCCAGTGTCTGAGGTATGGAGGCACTGACGGGAGCCAATCAGGAGAGCCTTGATCTTCTGTAGAAAGTTAGCTCTCATTCAGGACTTGATGTCTGACAGATATTCTGTCATATTCCATATGTATGCGGATGACACCCAACTCTATCTTTCTGCCTTCACCCTCAACTCCAGGACCACTGCTGTCGTGACAGAATGTCTGGGGATTATGTCACCAAGAGGGAGCATTATAACACCTAAGGAGGCCATTCGGTCCAACATGTTTTCCGGCTCTTTGGAAGAGCTACCCAATCCCACTCCCCCATTCTTTCCCCATATTCTTGCAAGTTTTTCTGTTTCAAGGACCTATCTAATTCCCCCTTGAAAGTTGTTATTGATTCTGTTTCCACCGACCCTTTCAGGCTGTGCATTCCAGACCGTAATAACTTTGTGTAAAAAACTGTCTCCTCATCTCCCCTCAGGTTCTCTTGCCAATTATCTTAAATCTACGTGCCCTGGTTACTGACCCACCCTCCAGTGGAAACAGTTTCCATCTACTCTATCAAAACCTTCCATAGTTTTGAACATCGCTATTAAATCTCCCCATAACTTTCTCTTCTCTAAGGAGAACAATCCTCAGCATCTCTAGATCTGCTGGATTCATCCACCCCTTCAAGAATGAGTTGATAGATTTTTGGTAGGTCAGGGCATTAAGAGATATGAGGAGAAAGCGGGAAATTGGAGTTGAAAGAATCAGTTGAAGTATAGATCAGCTTTGATTAATTAAATGGTGGAACAAGTTCGAACGACCTCCTCCTGTTCGTAAATTCGCAAAATTAAAGTCCCTCGTCCCCTGGTACCAATCTGGTAAATTTCCTCTGCACCCTCTCCAAGACCTTGATATCATTGGAGGGGAGTCACCAAGAGACTCGAGACCTGCTCAAACAGCTGCCCTATTGCCAGACTCCGATTGCACATGGGATTCGCTATCCTAGCGTGAAAAATATACAATATCATTTTTCCTCTTTCCCAACCTCCTTTCTCTCCCCATAGCGCCATGTTATTTTTCACTTCCATCTGGACAAGCAGATAACATTGAACATCTCATCCTTAAGTGTGCACCCACCTCCAATACCCTATTGTCACCCGCAGCAAACTCTGCGGGACCATCACTCCAATCCTCACCTGGCTCCATGGTTTTAAACGGATCGACTTCAAGCTTCTCACCCTCACAGATCCCGTCACACCCTTGCACCTCCCTATCTCTCTGCCCAGCTCTCCATTCAGCGAACGCAGGCCTCCAGCCTCCATCTATAGCCGAACCTTCAGTCATTACCTCCAACCTCTGAAACTTCTGCTTTTATTCCTCCATTTCGCCCCCTCTCTGTCGATAACAAAAACATTGACATTTTTATAGTGGCTTTCACATCAGAATGACGTCCCAAGGCACTAGACAGTTAATGGTTTGCACCTGAGCTGGGGGTTGTGATCAAGAGGATTGGAGGGTAGATGACACCTCAGGGAGGGAGGGTGGCCGAAAGCAGGTCAAAGAGGAAAGTCTTGAGCCAGGCCTTGAAGGAGGCAAGGGAGCAGGTGAAGGGGAGGGATTCTGGAATGGAGTTCCAGAGGAAAGGGGCAGAAAAGCTGAAGACCCAATCGCCAATGTTGGGGCGAGCAGAGCAGGAGACATGAAGCAGGCCAGTGTCTGCTGAGCAGAGGGATGGTGGTCCCTCTCACCCGCCGCACCACCATTGGAGGTTGCGCTTTCAGCCACTACACTCCGAAACTCTGGCACACTCTCTCTCAATCCCTCCGCCTTGTATCCCCTCACCTCTTTTACAAGACCCGCCTGAAAACCTTCCTCTTCGACCGTGATTACGGCCACTTCTCCACCCCCCTCCCCCCCCCCCCCCCCGGCTTGCAGTCAGGCTACACTACTTTTAGGAGCTATGAAACGCTGCCCTGCATGGAGGTGCAATACAAGTGCAAGTTATTGTTGTTGTGGTTGTTATGTGCTAATATGTCGCAGAGGCAGAGAAACAGCTTTCTTCCTATTGTTGATGTTGTTCATCAACAACAACAACAAAATTACATTTATAGAGTGCCTTTCACGTCGGGAGGACTTCCCAAGGCGCTGGATGACTGTGGGGTTGGGACCCGAGCATGGAGTAGGGGTGGGGAAGGCAGAGAGGCTGAGACATGGAACAGGCTGAACGGAGGGAGTGGGCTGGTTGGTAGGGAGTCAGCAGGTCAGAGAGATAAGAGGGGGCAAGACCATAGATGGCCTTGAAAGTGAGGACGAGGATCTTGAATTCGATCCTCTGGGGGATGGGGAGTTAGTGGAGTCGGGCGAGGGTGGGAGTGATGGGGTCACGGAGCCTGGTGCGTGAGAGTACACGAGCTGCAGAGTTCTGGATGATCTGCAGCTTGTGAAGGGAAGAGTTGGGAAGGCCGATGAGGAGGGAGTTTCCATAATCGAGCCTTGATGTGATGAATGCATGGGTGAGGGTTTGGGCAGCCTGAGGGGTGAGGCAGTGGCAGAGTCTGGCAATGTTGCGGAGGTGGTGGTAGGCAGTGCCGGTCATGGCGCAGATGTGGGGGAGAAAGCACAGTTCAGGATCAAACAAGACACCCAGGTTCATGACTGCCTTCGTGACATTGAGTGTGCAGCCGTGGATGCTGATGCTGACAGCACCCGAGATGCGAAGGCACTGGCGTGAGCCAATCAGCAGGGCCTCGGTCTTGCTGACGTTCAGTTGGACAAAGTTGTCCCTCGTCCAGGACTTGATGTCGGACAGGCAGTTGGTCAGGATGCCAGTAGTCCTGGAGTTGAAGGTGGAGGCAGAGAGATAGAGTCGTGTGTCATCCGCAAACATGTCTGCAGATGATGTCACCAAGGGGGAGCATGTAGAGGGTGAAGAGGAGGGGACCGAGGACACAGCCCTGAGGAACACCGCACGAGATGGTGAGGGGGGTGGAAGAGAAGCCATTAGCCGTGACAAAGTGGAGGCAGTGGGAAAGGTAGGACCTGAACCAGTCAAGGACAGAACCTTGAAGGTTGAGGTGGGAGGAAAGGCGGTGGTGGAGGATTGAATGATCCACAGTGTCAAAGGCGGTGGAGAGGTTGAGGAGGACGAAGAGGCAGAGGGAGCCCTAGTCACACATGGTCAGGATGTCGTTTGCGACCTTGACCAGAGCAGTTTCCGTGCTGTGGGCAGCATGGAAACCTGATTGGCGGGGCTCATGGAGGGAGTGGGAGGAGAGGAAAGAGCAAAGCTGGGAGGCAACGGCTCTCGCAAGGACCTTGGACAGGAAAGGGAGGTTTGAGATGGGCCGGTAGCTGGATAGCTGTGATGGGTCAAGGGAAGTTTCTTCAAGGTGGGGATGATAGTGGCTGTAGAGGACAAGGATTTTAAAGGTATAATAATAATAATTCATACATTTGATATAGTGCCTTATCACGTCATTGAAATGTCTCAAAATGCTTCACAAGATATACTCTAAAATGAATTGACTGTATATTTTAGTGGGTAAAATGCGGCAGCCAATTGTGGTCAGTCATGTCCCACAAACAGTCATGGATTTAGTGACCAAATTATTATTTTTTTATTTTGGAGGGATTATTCCCTCCGGAAATTATCCACCAATCAACTAACAATGAGGTTCCTACTGCAAGGTAAACGGTAAGGAATAAGGAAACTTGCCTAAGGTTTCACCCTGCCCAGGGATCAAACCCAGTCCTCTCGCTTGTGAGGTGAGTGCTCTGTATGGAGAGCCAGTGGAGCCAGGTGGGGATGGGGGTGATCAGTTCACGAGCTATGTATGGGAGAGGACACGAGTTGCAGAGTTCTGAATAATGTGCAGCTTGTGGAGGGAAGAGTTGGGAAGTCCAGCGAGCAGGGAGTTAGCGTAGTCGAGCCAGTCGTGATGAATAAGGGTCTATATTCAAACCCCACCTTAAAATCTCCCTTTTTGATTGGACATAAAGTCACCTTCCCCCCACCCCCCCAGTGTGAAGTGCTCGGAGCCGTTATCCTATGTGAAGGGCACTGTATAAATACATGTTGTTCCCCCACAGCCCTAACCCCCTACATACTGCATTGGAGTCCAGATGTTGGTTATGAACACATAACTCTTTGACTCAGAAGAGGAGAGTCCTGGTTGCTGATTCAGGCTGGCACATAATTATTTTCTTTAATATTAGCAGGTTTTGACATCAGATTTCCAGTAACAAGAATACAGGATGTCCCATATTATTTCAAAGACAACGAATGTCAAGTTCTCAGAGGCATTAATCACACCCAAGGCTCCCAGCTATCAAGGAATAGAACTACCATGGATCAAAGGAAATGCTGAACTTGCCCCTGATTCCTGGAAACCCCTGACAGAGCGAGTCTTTTTTGTAGATTTGGCAAAGTCAGGGCTGCAGACAATCCCATGTGCAGTGTTGCAGCTGCAAGACCTGGAGGAGCTTCACTTGGAGAAAAATGAGATTCTGGAAATTCCTCCTGAAATAAGATATCTGAAGAACCTGAAGATCCTGTATGTAAACAATAACAAAATAAACATTATCAGCAAAGAGTTTGGGGAATTAACTCAGCTGCAGAGCTTGGATCTCAGTGAGAATCCTTTGACTGAGGGTTTACCCACACAGATTGTGTGTCGGCTGCAGGCTCTGCGGGAACTGCGACTGTATGACATGAATTTGACAGAATTACCCGCCGAGATCTGTAAAATGCTTCTTCACCTAGAGCTGCTGGGATTGTCAGGGAATGAGTTCGCTGTTTTGCCCTGGGAGATAATCAGCCTTAGAAATCTAAAAGAAATTTACCTCCAGAGAAACAAGTTTTGTCTGCTGCCGGTCTATCTTTGCCAGCTTTGTAGTTTGGAGATCTTGGATATGGGACAAAATGCACTGGAGTATTTGCCAGATGAGATCAGATCTCTACAAAAACTGAAACATTTATATCTGGCATACAATAACCTCAGAGCTACTCCAGAGGCGCTCCATGACTGCATTAGCCTTCGTGTGTTGGATCTAACTGGGAACCAACTATATGAAAACAAAGTTAACTCTCTCCCAAAAGGAATAGCTGAACTATCGGTCTCTAATAACCAGCTGTGCACAATCCCCCCATCAATCCCCACTGTAGCCAGTGCTCTGCAGCTTCTCTACCTCAAAAACACACAGTTAAAGAAACTGCCCTCTGCTATCTACTGCCTGAAAGGTCTCCGAATCTTAGATCTCAGTCAGAATCGCTTGCGACACTTCCCAAAGCACATCTGCTGCTTGGACAAGTTAGAGCTCCTCTCACTCGATGATAGTAAAGTGAAAGAGGTACAGTATGGCAACAGAAAACTAACAGTGATAATAATGATTAAATGCATGGTAACCATAAAAAGGCAATTTGTTATATTTAATACTTAAATAGATAGAAATTATTTTATTTTATTTGTAGATCCCTCCAGAAATAAAGAATCTACACAATTTGAAAACCCTGGGTCTGACCGGCAACAGATTCCAGGCCTTTCCACAGGAGATCTGTTCTCTGGTGTCCCTGGAGAGGCTGCACCTCGGGCAACACCATGGCATGAAATTTACAGGTTTACCTGACGCTATTACGGGGCTTGTGGTAAGAAGCTAATGTCTAGTCGGTCTTTACTGCCACAAATGGCTGCTGTGTTTGCCGACACTTATACTTGACAATGATTGCTTGTGAAGCGCTTTGAGCTATGTTGACATATTAAAGTGCAAAACAACTCTTTCGTATTCCCGTTCTTATAATTAAGTGGGGATGTGGAAAACATGTGTTCAGACAGTGAAATCATGACTCCCAACACCATAAAAGGTTAAGTGTTGCATGAAAAACAACACCTCTTAGAAATTGCCTTTCAGAAAGAGCAGGGGACTGATCTGCAGCCATAAGCAACCAAGTTGGAGAAAGTTGCATTAGGGCCTGAGATATGCTTCACATGAAATGGTTATTGCAAAGGTTAGCTGCATGTACATAACATTGCTGTTGTTTAAAACCTTTATGTTTTGTCAGAACCTGAAGGAGTTGTATCTCGAAAACAATTTGATTGAGTTTTTGCCAGCGACGTTTGGTCTCTTACAGAGCCTGAAGATACTGGATTTACATGAAAATCGCATTCTGGAGATCCCACAATCTATATGTGACATACAAGGTGCATAGCTGATACATTCAATATTCTCCACCTTTCAGATATTCCTTATAACAAACAATTCAAATAATTTGGAAAATAAGAATAAGCCTCACCGGAAGGCAGATTTAAATAGTATTTAAACCTGTTAAATTTAATGCACTTGTTTTTCAGCAGCTAAAAATGTATTATTTAGCTTCTGCTGGATTGTTATACAATTGAGTGGATCTACTAGTCTGTGATGAACCGTTTTATGGCATGGTCTAAATTATTGACCTTATTAATCTTAGATATAACTGTCTTATATTTGACGGCAATCAGTTATCTTCCAAATATTCCATAATTCGTATTCATAGCTCGTGCCCTCTGTTCCACCATCGGTGGCCATGCCTTCAGCCACTATGCCCAGAAACTCTGGAACTCTCCCCCTCAATCCCTCCGCCTTGCCCCCTCCCTCCCCACCTTCAAATCCCACCTAAAGACCTTTCTTTTTGATCGTTCTTACGGTCACCTCCCTCTCCCCCTGGCTCGGTGTCAGACTCTATCACTGTCAAGCACTCCGGGATGCTATATAAATGCAAATTGTTGTTGTTGATGAAGGTTTTGAATGGTCTAAAACTTCACTGTTCGAACCAACTTGTGGGACGCTGCTGTGCGCAATTGGATGCCACATTTCACCCACAAACTATGCAGACAATTCACTTTACAGTATATTCTGTGAAGCACTTTTAAACATCTTGAAGACATGATAAGGCGCTATATCAAATACAAGGATTATTATTATTATAACCTCACTGGTGTGGCCAGAGCAATGCACCTGTGCAGCTAAACCTACATTTACAGTGTGGGTTCAACAAATCAATCAGTAATTTTGGATCATAAAAATGACATGATTATATTAAAGAAAGTTATTCATTCAGAGCATGTTCATAGTTTTTTTTGAATAAATATCTTTCTAAGACACACATTATGAATAATAGCTTTTTGTCATCAGCTGTGGCCTGTGGTCAGTTCTGCCTCATAACCAGCTCCCAGTAACAATAAGAGCAGATTCCAATAACGTCCAATTTGGAGTGACCTGGGTCTTACACTTTCTTGAATGAATTGTAACACTTGAAAGGACCAAGAGCAAGTTGATTGTCAACAAAACAACAACAACAACAACAAATTACACTTGTGTAGCGCCTTTCACATCAGGCCACTGGGATCCTCACCAAAGCAGGTGGTTGCGATCTCAGGAGGGGTGGAAGGCTGGGAAAGGAGAGGTGTGAATGTGACCAAAGGCATGGACCAAAAGGAGGGTCTTGAAGGACCTTCTGTGGTAAAAGGACATAAAGAAAAGGAAAGGAGCAATATCTTAGTTGAAGAACTGATATGATCAATTTGGGGTGTGATCCAACAGGCCTGAAACAATTGATATTTGACTGCAATCGCTTAACTCAACTTCCGGAGAACTTAGACCAATTGCAGAAGCTGGAGGTTCTATCCCTGACGAGAAACCCACTGAAGGAGCCTCCAGATGATGTCTATCAGCAGGGAATTCCTGCTGTTTTCCAGTACTTACAGAAAAAGAGACATCAGAGGCTGATGGCAATCAAGGTTTGTACTGCTGAAAAAATACCTTAAGTGGTTAATTTATGGTGATTTATGTTTACATTTTGGTGATGATTTTTTAGCATCAAGAACACATGCAGGTGTTGAGCGCAGGATGATACTCTTCACAAGTTGTTTGTGGACTTTGAGGCAGTTCTACCCCCTTATATGTACACCAACAATATGGCTTGCTATCCCTCGCAGAGTGTACTCGGTGGCCTCTGTGTTCAATCCTCATAAACAAATGCAAGTCCCTATAACTGGGTGTAATTTGACTTATTTCTTCCATGTCAACAGATACAACCATTTGCTATTTAAACTAAAGCAAATTGGGAAGTTTCAGTTAATCAGAGGTTCATTTTATACTTTGTACACTTTGCTGAACCTGTTTGCGTATTCCCCCTTGATGTATACAGAAAGCTCAAGCAAGCATGGTTAAGTTAACTCAACAGAATTTTATTGTAGCTTCGATGAAATCTGCAATCCTTGGCATTCAATCTTAAACTGCACAATAAATATCAACAAACACAACTATAAGATAACAAATATTAATCACACTTAAGCTAAACACTCTAGAGGTTTCTTGTAATCATAGAATCATAAAATCATACAGCGCAGAAGGCACATCGTGCCTGTGCCAGCTCTTTGAAAAGAGCTTCCACATCAACCCCACTCCCCCGCTCTCTCCCCATAGCCCTGATCAACCCCACTACCCCCACTTTCTCCCCATAGCCCTGATCAACCCCACTCCCCCCTCTCTCCCCATAGCCCTGATCAACCCCACTCCCCCACTCTCTCCCCATAGCCCTGATCAACCCCACTCCCCCACTCTCTCCCCATAGCCCTGATCAACCCCACTCCCCCCTCTCTCCCCATAGCCCTGATCAACCCCACTCCCCCCTCTCTCCCCATAGCCCTGATCATCCCCACTCCCCCACTCTCTCCCCATAGCCCTGATCAACCCCACTCCCCTCTCTCCCATAGCCCTGATCAACCCCACTCCCCTCTCTCCCATAGCCCTGATCAACCCCACTCCCCCCTCTCTCCCCATAGCCCTGATCAACCCCACTCCCCCACTCTCTCCCCATAGCCCTGATCAACCCCACTCCCCCGCTCTCTCCCCATAGCCCTGATCAACCCCACTCCCCCCTCTCTCCCCATAGCCCTGATCAACCCCACTCCCCCACTCTCTCCCCATAGCCCTGATCAACCCCACTCCCCCGCTCTCTCCCCATAGCCCTGATCAACCCCACTCCCCCGCTCTCTCCCCATAGCCCTGATCAACCCCACTCCCCCGCTCTCTCCCCATAGCCCTGATCAACCCCACTCCCAGCAAACTTGTCCTCCCCAAATAATTATCTACTCTCTTAAAAGTTGTTATCAAATCGGCCTCCCCCAGCCTTTCAGGCAATGCATTCCAGATCTGAACCGTTCGCTGTGTGTAAACAATGTTGCTTCCCCTCCCCTCTGTTCCTTTTAACAACTACTTTAAATCGGTGTCCCCGGGTTACCGACACACCCACTATGGAAATAGTTTCTTCTTGTTCACCCTATCGAATCCCCTCATGATTTTAAACAAATTTCGAGGGGGGAAGGGAATCAGGATGCAGCATCAGGAAGGAGAAACAAGTTACATGGGAGAGGCGCATAGCAATGTAATAAGGAGAAGTCCAGAAAAAAGAGGGATTAGATGAGGGAGAAATGCAGACCAGATGCAGGCAGTCTTAGAGTGCATCTGCGTAAATACATGGAGTGTGACAATAGTGGGTAGGAGATAGATGAGCAAATCTGCAGCAGATTTCAGAAAGATGCAAAACCAATAGAGTAGTGATAATGGGGGCTCTTCAATTAGGATTAACGTAGACTGGCAAAATAACAATGGCAAGGAGGGGGAAAGATTCCTGAAATGTGTGCAGGATAAGTTTCAACTGGAAGAGGGCTAATTTCAGTGAGTTAAAAGGGACCTGGCCAAGGTGGACTGGAAAGAAAGATTGGCAGGTAAAACAGCTAACGAGCAATGGGAAGCCTTTAAGGAAGCGATAGCTCAAGGACAGAACAAATACATTCCCACAAAGGGGAAAGGTAGGGCATCTGTGGATTTCAAGAGGAAAGTAGACAGGTATCAGAAGGAAAGTGGGTTGAAGTGGTATGCGGATAAGGGGATGGAATCCTCTGAGATCTGCTGCTCTCATAGTTGAATGGCCTCCTGTGTTCTGCCGCCCGCATTCTCACCTGCACGAAACCCCACTCCCTGACTACCGCAGTTCTGTCCCAGAGAGGATCGATTTCAAGATCCTCACCCTTGTATTCAAGTCCCTGCACGCCTCTGCACCCCGCGACCTCTCTGACCTTCTCTCCTCAAAACAGTACCCGTTGCCTTCGTTCCTCTGGGTCTGGCCTGCTCCTCGTCCCCCGAGTCCTCCGCTCCACCCTCGGAGGCCGTGCCTTCAGCCACTGAGCCCCGAGGCTCTGGAACTCCCTCACTCCCTCCCTTCCTATTTTCAGGTCTCTGCTGAAGACGTTTCTTTTCGACCGCGCCTTTGGTCACCTTCCTCCCCCCACCTACTCCCACCCCCCACACCCCCCGGTTCGGTCCTGGGATCCGTTACTGTGAAGCGCTCTGAGACGTCGTCCCGTGTGGAGGGCGCTATATAAATCCATGTTGTTGTATACATTTTCCCAGTTGATTGTGAGTGGTGCCATACCCACGTGTTTCTTATCTTTGCCAAGAAAAGTTTATAAAATTTCAAAATTTATAAATCCAGATTTGCATATCAGAGAAATCATAATTCAAGGAATGATCAGCATAACATTCTCAGATATAAATTCAAAGAGGTGGCACAGTCACCCCAGCACTGACTGGGTAGTGATTATAGAATCATATTGACCTGTCAGGATTCACTTTAGAAGACTGAGCAGACTCATTCCTAAAATTTTCCCTCTCTGAATTGTAGCTCCAGTCATGGTGGCGTGGTCTTATGGTTCGCCTGCAACTTGGACCTTTCAAAGACTTGTTTCCGAAGAAGAATAAGAAGGGAAAGAAAGAGAAAGGGAAGAAAGAGAAAGGGAAAAAAGAAGCGGACAAAGGAAAGAAACAGAAAGGAGCAAAAAAGTAGACAGCTGTGAAATGCTGAGATTAAACCAGGCTGTATGAATTTGCATTTATATAACGCTCTTCACGCCAGATGGCATTTTGGAGGTTGATTGCCAGTGGATGCACTGCTTCAACTTTCTGTTGAAAACAAGTCTAATTTATTGTAAGATACAATCACAGGCTCTAAAAATTACAGTGCAAGCCGCTGGTTAACCCCGGACGCTGGTGAATTCGGACAAAATGCGGGACTGGTTGCCACTGCGTCTCCTCACTCTATGACTCCATCCAGCCACGCTTGGCTCTGGAATAGAGGTGGGAGGAGGCAAATTGTGGTTGATTGACAGCGGACTCCAGCCATTCACAATTGGAGTTGGCTGTCAATCAGCAGCGAGCAGAGGAACGAGGAAGAAATAAGGGAAGGAATGGGAGTAGTCAAATCGTGATTGATTGACAGCCTGCAGTAAATCACCTTGGAGACTCCGCTAATTGGTCCCCTTCCCATCCAATGGGAATGGCAATGGGAGGGAAGCGATCCACCGCTCCTCTGCTGGGAGGGAAAAGATAGCAGTTACTGTGGTAACCTCGAGCGCCACTTAAACGGCCACTTCCCCCACCCCACCCTCCACCACCACCAAGGGAGGGGAGGGGAGGGGGGGGTGACCGATTGCACGGTCAAAGAGGAGCATTTTGAGCCAGGACTTGAAGGAGGTTAAGGAAGGTGGAGTGATTGGGGGATGGAATTCCAGAGGTTGGGGGCAGAGTGGCTGAAGGATCTCCCGGGTGGGGTGGGTGGGTCGGGGGACGTGGAACAGCCAGAGCCGGCTGAGCGGAGGGAGCGGGCTGGTTGATAGGGGGTTAGGAGGTCACAGAGCTAGGGTGGGGGGAGGCCATGGAGGACTTGAACTGGATCCTCTGAAGGATTGGGAGCCAATGGAGTCGGGCAAGAGTGGGGGAGATGGAGTCACGGAGTTTGGTGCAGGAGAGTTCTGGATTATCTGCAGTCTGTGGAGGGAGGAGTTGGGAAGGCCGACAAGCAGGGAGTTTGCATAGTCGAGCCTGGAGGTGATGAAGGCACGAACAAGAGTTTCAGAGGTCTGAGGGGTGAGGTAGTGGCGGAGTCGGGCGATGTTATAGAGGTGAGGGAAGGCAGAGTGGGTCATGGCTTGGATGTGGGGGAGAAAAGACAGTTGAGGGTCGAACAAGACAGCTGGGTTCCTGTCTGGCTGGTGAGCTATAGTGAGCAACCATGGAGGGTGATGCTGCCAGAGCCTGAGGTGCTGAGGCGCTGGCGCGAGTCAATCAGGAGGGCCTCAGTCTTATTCACATTCAACTTTAGGAAATTTGCTCTCATCCAGGACTTGATGTCCGACAGACAGTCTGTCAGGACAGCAGTGGTCCTGGAGTTGAGGGTGAGGCAGAAAGATAGAGTTACGTGTCATCCTCATACATGTGGAAGTTGACCCCATGTCTGTGGAAGATGTCCCCGAGGGGGAGCATGTAGATATTAAAAAGGAGACGAGGACAGAGCCCTGGGGGACGCCAGACGTGACAGTGCAGAGGCTGGAGGAGAAACCGTTAAGAGGCAACAAAGTGGAGACGGTGAGAGATAGGAATCAAACCAGGCAAGGGCAGGTCCGTGAATATTAAGTAAGATTAAGGAGATACACCAATGTGTCTGGCTTAAGCAGCCTTCACTGTAACTGAATTATAGATAATATTCATTGCTCATAAAATCATCAACTTCATTAACAACAACTTGCATCTATATAGTGCCCTTCATGCAGTTAGTGTCTCCTGATAACTTATTGCTTCGAGGGTAAGGGGCTCAGTGACGAGTTAACCGTCAGTTAGGCAGAGGTCCTCTCAGCCATAAGTAGGCGCTGTGACTGCCGTGCATGCTCAGATACAACACAGAGGCCGCTGGTCTATTGAAGGACCACACTATTATCTGAAGATAATTTTACTTAAAAATGTTTTGTAAGTTTGTTCACAAATCACAAGGATTTCACAAAATAACATTTTTAATTTTCCGACCAAACTTTTATGATAAAGCTAGTGCATAAATTTGGTGCATAAAATGCAGCAAAACGTTCAATTAATAAAATCTCAGCCAGACAATGGAGGTTAATAAAACAGATAGATTGTCTGCAGGAATGCAGCTAAACAGTGATCGTTAATGGAGTTAGATAATGGTGAGCACAGCTCTTTTACTTCTAAATCAATGTCCCTGAGACGACAACACTGTTATATTGTTTCTTGTGAAAAAAATTAAAATAGATTTATTCCTATATAAAGTACTTTTAAGCATAACATTGGACTACTGTAAATTATACGTTTACTGGAGTAGCAGAAATAGACAACACAACGGTGCTGATATTAAGCTTTGTAATCTTGTCCTGTATCTACTAAGGTTCCAAAACAAATCATATTTTCCATTTGCTTCAACCTGTGATCACTCAACTTTGGAATGTGCAGGTAAATGAAAGAAACCAGCTCAGGGGATTCTTACATAGTTCAGAGAAGGTTGAGATTTCTAGAGATAAAATATTTGATTTAACAAAAAATCTAAACTTCAACAACCATTGGATTATTATTTTAGACTTTAAAATTGTGCAGAATTTTAGAATATTTGTAAATTCAGTTTTAATTCGGAAGCATTTCTTTTATGAACAATGGAAAAAATAACTTCCAAGAGTTCAACAATTTTCCAAAATTCTGCACAATTTTAAATTTTAAGACCACGACATGTTAAAGCTAAGACCTTCAAATTTTGCACCTGAAAAACTGGGATTTAACAGAAATGTGGTCTGGAGTATTATTTTAAACAATAAGAAAATTAAAGAGCAATTTGAATCTGAATTTAGAAGCTCATCTGTTTCGTGAATATTTTCCTTCTGGTGGAGGTAAGAGTGGTGAGTAACAATACTCAAAATGGATGTTCCTCTTATTCTGTTGATTAAAAGCATGGAGGAATTCTCTCTGAATGGTGCTGAAAGTCCATCGTTGCATTCCCAGATGTGTGAGAGAGGGAAATCTGGACAGACTATCCAGTAGAGCTGGGAACCAAGGGCTGGAATCTCGCCGAGTCGAAGGCTGAAGGCTAATGTCCAGCTCCAAGAGGCTGTTGAGACCGGTCAATTCCTGGAAGAATGTGCCCCACGATTGATCATCGATAGTACCATTGTACATTAAATCCAACATCTGTAATTCTGGCAAATGTCCAGCACAGGAGACAGACACTAAAAGAAATAACAACTTACATTATTATAGTGTCAAAATGGCTCCAAATGCTTCATAGAAATTGTCAAGTGCACTTAGTTTTTGCAGTAAAACGCAGCCATCATTTAAGCCATGCGAGCACAGGATAGCACTTTCACCTCTGAGTCAGAAGCTTATCAGTTCATGCCTCATGGAGGGAGTTTGAACTCACAACCAACATCTACTTCTCATTTCAACACATTCATACAGGTGACTCCTTGGTCAAATGGCTATCTAACAGGTGGAAAACCATTGCTATGCTTAAGAGTATCTAAATTAAACTACAGTTAATAGATTCTACTTATGCATCATTTCCATTTGTCTGGTATTGAATGCACACTTTCTCCCTGGGTGGAAACACTTTAATTAATTCAGGAGCATTCAGGTGCAGGTTGCCGAGTGCCAAAGCTTGGTGACCTCAGAGTGTGCACTGGGATGGAATTTAGGCAGCTCACAAGATTAATTTGGATGATAATAATAAATAATAATAATAAAAAATAATAATCTTTGGCCTATCCGATCTCATCCTTCCAGAACATCTACCCTACCTCTGTATCCTTTCTTTCTTGCCATTCCCTCTTTGAACCCCTCCAATCCGGCTTCCACGCTGCCCACAGCACGGAAACAGTCCTGGTCAAAGTCATGAATGACATTTTGAACATCTGTGATCAGGGCTCCCTCTCCTCCTTGTCCTCCTCGATCTCTCTGCCGCCTTCGACACTGTCGACCACTCCATCCTCATACACCGCCTCTCCTCTCTACTTAATCTTTTGCGGACCTGCCCTTGCCTGGTTTGATTCCTATCTCTCTCACCGTCTCCACTTTGTTTCCTCTTAATGGTTTCTCCTCCAGCCCCTGCATTGTCACGTCTGGGGTCCCTCCCAGGGCTCTGTCCTTGGTCTCTCCTCTTTAATATCTACATGCTCCCCCCTTGGTGACATCATCCACAGACATGGGGTCAACTTCCATATGTATGCGGATGACACCCAAGAACAACAACAAGGCACCCTCAACTTCAGGACCACTGCTGCCCTGATGACTGCCTGTCGGACATCGTCCTGAATGAGGGTAAATTTCCTACAGTTGAATGGGAACAAGACTGAGGCCCCCCTGATTGGCTCGCCTCTGCATCTCAGGCTTTGGCAACATCAACCTCCATGGTTACACACTTCTAATCACCAAGACAGTCAGGAATCTAGGTGTCTTGTTCGACCCTCAACTGTTATTTTCTTCCCCACATCCAAGCCATGACCCGATCTGCCTTCCCTCACGTCCGTAACATCGCCCGACTCTGCCACTACCTCACCCCTCAGGCCGCTGAAACTCTTGTTCATTGCTTCATCACCTCCAGGCTCGACTATGCTTGTCGGCCTTCCCAACTCCTCCCTCCACAGCCTGCAAATAATCCAGAACTCTCCTGCACCAAACTCCGTGACTCCATCTCCCCCATTCTCACCCGAATTGGCTCCCTATCCTTCAGAGGATCCAATTCAAGATCCTGGACCTCATCTACAAAGCCCTCCATGGCCTCACCCCACAATACCGCTGCGACCTCCTAGCCCCCTACCAACCCACCCGCTCCCTCCGCTCAGCTGGCTCTGGCCTGCTCCATGTCCCCCGACCCACCCGCCCCACCATTGGCGGGAGAGCCTTTAGACACGCTCCCCCCAACCTCGGGAATTTCATCCCCCAATCACTCTGCCTCGCCTCCAAGTCCTGCCTCAAAACCCTTTTCTTCGACCATGCCATCGGTCACCTCCCTTCCCCTCCCCTCCCTTCTCCCTCCCCGACTCCAGCTCGGGTCTGAAATGCCGTACACTGTCCAGCGCCATACAGTGCGCTATACAAATGTAATCTTGTTGTTGTTGTTGTTCTAAACATTCAGATGCAAAACTGGTGATAGTTGTTCAAGGCATCTTTTGATCCTGAAAATCCAATGGAACTATAGGCCTCAGTGGCAACATTGTGCAGTATCATTAAACCTCTCGGGACAGGAAGCTGTTGAACTATATAACTCAGAGAAGCCGCCAATAAAATAACAAATGTTGGAGAGTTGAGGTACAATGTGCTGGTAGAACCGACATTAAAATAGAAAGGTTGAAGTTTGCAAGACAAAAGTAAACTGAAAAGGAAACATGTGATCAATACATAGAAGGAAATTAGCAAGAACTTGCGAATTCAGTGATGAGACATCAAATGATCAGGGACAATAACATCAATAACTTGCATTGATATGCAGGGTAGCTTCTTGGAGGGTTTAGGAGTGGTGGAGCCAGGGAGAAAGCCATATGCAAAGAGGAATGCCTTCAGGTATGATCTGAAAATGTGGAAGGGTGGGGGCAAGGGGAAGGGTAAGCAGGTAGGGAGATGCCGAGGCATGAACGGATTTGTAGACAATTTTTGGTCTCCTTATTTAAGGAAGGATGTACTTGTCTTGGAGGGGGTGCAGCGTAGATTTACTAGGTTAGTACCAGGGATGAAGGCGATGAGTTACAAGGATAGGCTGACCAATTTGGACCTATATTCTCCAGAATATAGAAGAATTAGAGGGGATCTTATAGAAACCTATAAGATCATCAAAGGGCATGATAGAGTAGATAGTGGGAGATTGTTTCCCCCGGTTGGAGAAACTAAAACCAGGGGTCACAACCTTAAAATCAGAGGCAGCCCTTTCGCACTGAGTTGAGGAAGAACTTCTTCACTCAAAGGGCGGTGACTGTATGGAACTCACTACCCCAAAGGGCTGTTGACGCTCAGTCCTTGAACATATTCAAGACTGAGATAGATAGATTTATTGCAAAAGGGATTAAGGGATATGGGGATAAGGCCGGGTCAGGTTATTAGCTGGAGTTAGATTAGAAGATCAGCCATGATTGAATGGCGGGGCAGGCTTGAAGGGCCGAATGGTCTACTCCTGCTCCTACATGTTATGTTATGTTACAATTGTGAGGATTTTGAAGTTGATCCATTATGTGATCGGGAGCCAGTGGAGTCTGGCAATGACTATTGTGATGGTGGTATGGAGTTTAGACTGGGTGATTATACGGGCAGCAGAGTTTGAATCAGCTGGATTTTGAGAATGCTGGAGCTGGGGAGACCGATGAGGTGGGCATTGGGAGGTGATGAAAGCATGGATGAGGGTTTCAGTTGCATTGGGTGGGAGGTACAGTTGGAGGTGGGCAATGTGACTGAGGTGGAGGAAAGCGGTTCTGGTCAGGGAGCTGATATGGGGTAGGCAGGACAGCTGGGGGGAACCTGATGCCAAGATTATATACAGGTTCTGATGGTCTTAGGGATAGGTTGGGGAGGTGAGGAGGTCAGAACCACGAGCAGAAGATATTGACAGGAGCACTCATCCAGGCCTTGATGTCTGACAAACAAGCTTACAGAATCACAGTCACAGCTGAAGTCACAGCTGGAGGAGCAGAAGTAGATCTCAGTGTCATCCACACCCATGTAGTTGACCCCGTATCTGCAGATGACGTTGCCGAGGGGGAGCATGGGAGGAAATGAGGGGGCCAAGGATGGATTGAGGTATGCTGCAGGTGAATGGAAAGGGGCAGGATACCTCGATTTCAGGACCACTGCTGTCCTGACAAAGTGTCTGTCAGATAATGAAAGACAAATTTCTCCAGTTGAATGTCAACAAGACTGAGGCTTGGCTCCCGTCAGCGTCTCCTCACCTCAAGCACTGACAGCATTACTATTAATGGCTCCTCTCTACACCTCATTGAGCCAGGAAGGAACCTTGATGTCTTGTTCGACCCTCAACTATCTTTTAAACCACACATCCGTGCCGTGATCTATTCTGCCTTTCTCCACTTCGGCAAAATTCGTCACCATATCACCCCCCCAGGCTGCTGAGACCCACATCCATGCCTTTGTTACATCCAGGTTTGACAATGCTAACTCCTTGATTGCCGAACTTACCAACTCTTCCCTTCACAAGCTGTAGATTATTCAGTACTCTGCAACTCGTGTCCTCTCCCACACTAAGCTCCATGACCAGATCACCCCCATTCTCACTAGGCTACACTGGCTCCCCATCCTCCAGAGGATCAAATTCAAAATCCTTGTTCTCACCTTTAAAGCCCTCCATGGTCTTGTTCCTCCCTATCTCTGTGACCTACTAAACCTTTACCAACCTATCGCTCCCCACACTCAGGAGGCACTGGCCTGCTCCACGTATCTCACCTCTTCCATTAGCATCGGGCTTCAGCCTTTCTGGCCCCACCATCTGAATCTATCCCAGAGACCATCTGTGTCGGCCTCTCTCTTGCCTCCTTCAAGGCCCATCTCAAGACCCTCCCTCTTCGATCGTGCCTTCTGTCATCTTTCCATCGCCCCCCCCCCACCCCCCCTCTACCCACCATACCTCTTGATTGGGTGCAAACCCCCAGCTTGGGTGCAAACCCTTCACTGTCCAACACCTTGTGACATCCTCCCACAGTGAAAGGCGTTATATAAATGCAATTTGTTGTTGTTTCTGTTGTTAATTTGTTAAAGGTATAATCACACTCTTCTTGTTACCTAGTGCTGCCAGGTCTTGGATGGTCAGATTGCAGCTACTCAGCCTCAACACTTGAAGATGAGTCACATATTGGAACACCTCAGCCAACAGCTTAATATTCCCACCGAGGCACTTATTCCAGGAAAGGTCCAACATCTCCAGTGTGGTAAGATTTGGAATTGTGTCAGCTGTAAAGTTTAACATAATTTTATTTGTTTTTAATACTTTCCAAAGCTTTGAAAGATTTCATCTGAAAGTAGGAAATACATTTCTCATTCAAAAGGCTGTTCAAGAAGCATATGAATCCTTTCAAGTAGAAGTGTTTAACTAACTTATCAGGGATAAATTTATAGGGATACCTATTGACTGATTAGTGTGACCGTGAACAATCATCTCTAAAAAGTGACCATCTAGGATTTGAGAATGAGAACTTAGTTGGATCGTGTGTAGTTTTGCTCAACTGCATAATAATCCTTGGATTTGATATAATCCTTGCATTTGATATAGCGCTTTATCACGTCTTCTAGACGTGTCAAAGTGCTTCACAGAATAGAATTGATTACATGTTATGTGGGCAAAACTTGGCAGAAAATTGCGCACGGCAGTGTCCCACATATAGCCGTGGATTGAGTGACCAAATTATTATTATTTATTTATTTTTTGCAGGGATTATTATCCCTGGAAAAGCGATCCGCCAATCAACTAACAACTGGGTTACTATTTACTGCTCGGTAAAGAGGCGTGTGGAATAAGGAAACATGCCCACGTTTTGCCCTCCTGGGAATCGAACTCAGGTCCTCTTGCATGCTCTCGCTGGATCCTCTTCAAGTGCTCTAACCACTGAGCTACAGGACTCCACATTATGGGTCAGTTGCAGTAATACGTCCAATTTTGGAAAACCCATTACAATAAGGATATCACAGACATCTAATTATAAAAAGCTATTTCTCACACAAACATCCCTTACCTCAATATATATAAAAATGCACCAAAACAGAATAAAACTACTTTATGGAATTGTATTACGTGCAAAGATAGGAACATAGAAGTTGAGTTTTTACTACTTTTCTAACAGGAAAGCTGTTATTTTACACCCAAGATGCAAATAAATCCAAGATTTTGACATAGGGAAGATGTTTCCACTTGTGGGGGAGACCAAAACCAGGGGACATCAACATAAAATAATCACAAATAGATCAAATAGGGAAGTTAGAAGACATTTCTTCACCCAGAGAGTAGTGGGAATGTGGAACATGCTATCACAAGGAGTTGTTGAGGCAAATAGCATAGATGTATTTAAGGGGAAACTGGAGAGATACATGAGGGAGAAAAGAATAGAAGGTTATGCTTGAAGGCTTAGTTGAGCAAGGGCAGGAGGAGGCTCATGTGGAGCATAAACACCGGCATAGACCAGTTGGGCCGAATGGCCTGTTTATGTGATGTACATTCTAATATTCTACATCATATATTCTAATGTAATGTAATATAAGTAATGTAATGTAATATATGTAATGCATATGTAATATAATATATGTAATGCATATGTAATATAATATATTCTAATGTAATATATTCTAATGTAATGTATTATGATCTATTCAAGAAAAAAGCAGCACTATCAGGAACAGCTTACCTAGCTCTGTAATCGAGTCTTTGGTTAGGCTGCAGTTGCTGGCGATGAAATCTTTTAATTTAGGCAAAAAGCGAAGTCGGGCAAACAATTGTTCAGCAGTTCCTATGTGCTTGTTTAATGCTAAGTTCAGTACTTGAAGATTAGCCAGCAGTGGAATGACCTGGGCTGTAAGCAAAACATTATAACTTGTTGTATAGAACAGTTTGTTTACATTTCCATTGAGCCATTACCAGAAATATTTGCACTTATATCAGATTTAAAAAGTCTCTTTTTAAAAGTAAACCAAGCATACATCTGTTCTACTTCTATAAAAATATTGTTTCTTAATTAATTATGCCTTATATTCTACTTATTTTATCCCTGGATATAACATCACAGCACACAATGTCAACAACAACAACAACAAAATTACATTTATAATAGCGCCTTTCATGTCGGGAGGCACTGAAAATGTCCTTGATAAGTCTGGTGGACTAAACTAAAACTTGAATGTTTCATTTTACTGATACATTAACTTGTATAAGTCATTAACAAGGCTGCAGTTATTGTGTCAAGTTTTGGTCACAATAAACTCAATGCAAGAATGGGTTATTGGTGCCATACCTGTCAGCAAACTCAACAATGTGCCCTCAACAGAACATTTCATGCAGAGAGACAGAGTTGAAACCCAATTAAGGTGGGAAATTGGGAAGGAGTGAAGAGTGAGCTGACTTCAGGAACAGACTAAGGGATACTTTTTAAAAAGTGTTTTGAAACTGAGATAGAGACTGCAGGGATAATGGATTTTGAAAGAGAGTTACAAAGAGTAGCGGCTGAAAAGTAACAACAGCAAATCTTGCATTTGAAATTACACATATAATATCAAAACTTCTGGAAATGCTTTGCATGGAATTTCGGTATAGTGACTGTGTAGTAGAATTCAGGCACAACAGACAATTTACACATAACATTGTTCCACAAACAGTTTCAAAATATGAGCAAAATATTTGATCAAAAAGAATGAAATTGCTAATTCTACATAAATTGTTCACAAAATCTCTCGGGAAATGCGTTCTGGTGAGTTCAAACTGTAACATTAGAAGGATACTCTCATTGAATCTTTACTCACTCAAAATGGAGATATCCTCTTTGGTTAATGAGCACTGATGGACATCCAGCACACACAGCTTGGTGAGGTTCAGCAGCTCGGTCCCTACCTCGTTGAAAGCTCCTCCAACATTCTTATTACAGGAGAAATCCAGCTCCGTCAGATCAGATAAGTGTCCAAGTGTAATGACTGAAATAATAAAAATCTGATATTATGAATGTATCATGAATTCCCTGTTTCTAAGGTATCCTGTTAGAAATCACTGCATATTGGACACCATTTAAGAAACACTGTGGAGAATCCGATGACGCTATTAGAAAAGAGAAGGGAGTTTTTCCTGCTGGCCAACAATCCCCCAAATCAAATTGGTCATTCGTTTCATTGCTGTTTGTGGGACAATGCTGTGTGCAAATTGTCTGCTCCACTTTACAGATATCAGTAAAGTCCTGATAACTTTCCCTCCAAGGGCTCAGGGACGAGTTATAAATGTATCCAGGATATTGACCGCATGCAGACTTAAGTCTTAAGTGGCAGTGCTAAGTTAAGCCAGGGTCAAGTTTATAAAGCACCGGCTACATTTACAAAATACTGGGTAGGCCTCAGCGAGAGACTGTGTTCAGTTCTGGGCACCACTTTAGGAAGGATGTCAAGGCATTGGAGAGGGTGCAAAGGAGATTGACCAGAATGGTACCAGGAATGAGGGGCTTCAGTTATCAGGAGAGGTTAGAGAAGCTGGGATTATTCTTCTTGGAGTAGAGAAGGTTAAGAGAAGACTTAATAAAAGTTTTCAAAATGATGAGGGGATTCAATAGGGTGAACAAGGAGAAACAATTCCCACTGGCTGGTGAGTTGGTAACCCGAGGACACTGATTTAAAATAATTGTTAGAAGAAGCAGAGGGGAGGTGAGGAGAAATTTTTTCAACAGCAAGTTGTTGGGATTTGGAATGCATTGCCTGAAAGGCTGGTGGGAACCGATTCGATAACAACTTTTAAGAGAAGTAGATAGTTATTTGGGGTGGACAATTTGCAGGGCTATTGGGGAGAGAGTGGGGGAGTGGGATTGAATTTGATAGCTCTTTTCAAAGAGCCGGCACAGACACGATGGGCCAAATGATCTCTTTCTGTGTTGTATAATTCTATGATTCTATGATTCTAAGTTAGCCAGAGTTTACTGTATCTTGTGAAGCACTCTGGGAATCTTCCTGGTATGAAAGGTGCTATACCAAATGTAAGAATTACTATTACATAAGGACTGCATGGGATGAATCCTAGGTTGCTAAGGGAAGTTAGGATGAAAATAGAGGAGGCTCTGGCCACAATTTTTCAATCCTCCTTGCATATGGGAGTTGTGCCTGAGGTCTTGAGGGCTGCAAATGTTACACCCCTGCTCAAAAAAGGAAAAAGGTATAACCCTAGTAACTACAGGCCAGTCAGTCTAAGGAAACTTCGAGAGACTATAATCCGGGGCAAAATTAATTTTAACTTAAAAAAATGTAAGTTAATTAATGACAGTCAAAGTGGATTTGATGATATACAGAGATGAAGGTAGTGCAGTTAATGTAGTGTGTATGGGCTTTCAGAAGGTGTTTGATAAGGTGCCACACAATAAACTAGTTAGCAAAATTGAAGCCCATGGGATAAAAGGGATGGTGGCAGCTTGGATACAAAACTGGCTGGGAAACAGAAAGCAGAGGGTAGTGGTGAATGGTTGTTTTTCAGACTGGATGAAAGTATACAGTGGTGATCCCCAGGGGTCGGTATTAGGTTCACTGCTCTTTTTGATATATGTGAATGACTTGGACTTGGGTATAGAGAAAAAATTGAAAGTTTGCAGATGACACAAAACATAGTAAACAGTGAAGAGGATAGTAGCAAACTGCAGGAGGACATAAACAGACTGTTGGAAGTGGGCAGACACATGGCAGATGAAGTTTAATGTAGAGAAGTGTGAGGTGATGCATTTTGAGAGGACGAATGAGGAGAGGCAATATACAATAAATGGTAGCATTTTAAAGGGGGTTCAGGAGCAGAGAGACCTGGGGGTTCACATACACAGGAGGCGGCAGGACAGGTTGATGGAGCTGTTAAAAAAGCATATGGGATCCTTGGCTTTATAAATAGAGGCACAGAGTACAAAAGCAAGGAAGTTCTGCTAAATCTTTATAAATCACTGGTGAGGCCTCAGCTGGAATATTGTGTCCAATTCTGGGCACCACACTTCAGGAAGGATTCAAAGTCTTGGAGAGGGTGAAGAGGAGATTCACCAGAATAGTACCAGGGATGAGGGACTTTAATTATGCGGAAAGACTAGAGAAGCTGGGATTGTTCTCTTTAAGGCAGAGAAGATTAAGGGGAGATTTAACAGAGGTGTTGAAAATTATGAGGGGTTTTGATGTGAGTAGATAGGGAGAAACTGTTCCCATGGCTGGAGGGTTGGTAACAAGGCAACACAGATTTAAGATAATTGACAAAAGAACCAGAGGGGAGATGAGGAAAAATGTTTTTACAGAGAGGTTTTACAGTCTGGAATGCACTGCCTGAAAGGGTGATGGGGATAGATTCAACAACAACTTTCAAAAGGGAATTGGATAGGGACTTGAAAAGGGAAAAATTGCAAGGATATGGGGAAAGAGCGGGGGAGTGGGTCTAATTGGGTAGCTCTTCCAAAGAGCCAGCACAGACACGAATGAACTCTTCCTATGCTATAATATTCTATGATTCAATGACTATTTTACTTAGCTGGAAGCAGTGATGATCTACTTTTGCTTGAAAAATGTTACCAGGAAACTAAACCATTACCTAAAGCCTGGAGAATATCCGATTTAAGTCCACACATGTGCAACTTTAACTTCTGCAGACGAGACAAATGCTTTAATTGTTGAGGTAGAGTTTTCAAACCACTTCCGACATCTTTATTCATGGAAAGATCCAAGACTTCTAGTTTAGGAATCACAGACAAAGCATTTCCTGATTGAAAGGAAATATTAAAGTATAGTTGGTTAATAATTATACCATGGTCTGCATCACTCCTGTACAACCAACTCTTCTCAGTCCACTCTCCCATTCGTCTACCACCCTCTCCTCCAACACCAAATGCAAGGAGATGATGGATTTCCTCGAGTCCATAGTCGAGGGGATCCGCTCTTCTGCCTCTATCCCCTCTACCAGCACCCTGTTTCCACCTCCCACTTCCCTTTCATCCCCACTCATCCCTTCCTCCACACTTTTGGCCCTGTGTCCCCCTCTGTGTTCACCTCCAGCATTTCCCATATGAAACCCACCCTTTCCACACCTCCCAACTCCACCACTTTGACCACTACTAACAGACCTCGTTAACCTCTCCCTGTCCACTGGCACCATAACCACCCCCCTAAAGAGAGCCGTCATCACCCCTACCCTCAAATGACCTTCCCTTGACCCAACTCGGCTCTCCAACTACTGTCCCATTTCAAATCTTCCTTTTCTTTCCAAGGGCATGGAATGAGTCGTCGCTTCCCAGCTTCGCTCTTTCCTCTCCCAACATTCGCTCGCTCCATGCACCCCTCCAATCTGGATTTTGTGCTGCTCACAGCACAGATATAGCCCTGGTCAAATTAAATTTTGTTCTCCTGCGACCAGGGCTCTCTCTGTCCCCTTGTCCTTCTTGACCTTTCAGCCGCTTCCAATACCATCGACCACTCTATCCTTCTCCACCACCTCTCCTTTCATCTCCACTTCAACAGTTCTGTCCTTGCCTGGTTCCAATCCTATTGTTACCATCCTCTGCCCTTCGTGTCCACCAACAGCTTCTCCTCTAACCCCCGCACTGTCACATGGGGTCCCTTAGAGCTCTGTCCTCTTTCTCTCCTGTTCAATCTACACATGCTCCTTGGTGATGTCATCCATAGGCATGGGGTCAATCTCTACATGGATGTGGATGACCCCCAACTCTATCTCATCGCCTCCACCCTCAACTCCAGGACCGTTGATGTCCTGGCTAATTGTCTGGATGACATCAAGTCCTGGACAAGAGCCACTTCCTCCAGCTCAGTGTTGGCAAGACAGAGGCCCTCCTGCTTGGCTCCCGGCACTATCACTATTCATGGCTGTGCTCTTCACCTCACTGAGCCAATCCGAAACTCTTGTGTCCTTTTCGACCCTCAGCTGTCCTTCAAACCCCACATTCCGCATAGATACATAGATATATAGTTACATAGAATGTAATAAGCCATTGTCAGTATCTGTAGAAACTGAATCACGAGATGAAATCTCCCGTTTTTTAAACATTTTAGCTGGTTAAATTGGAATAATGACATTGGACCATTACATTTAATAGAGGTCGCCTTCCATGCAGCGACTACTTCTGGGACGACTTATACTTTTCCCACCCACAAAGCTGGTCTTCGCATTCAATTTCAGCTCGACCATCTAGGGGGAGATGAGTGGACAAGTACAACCCAGTCAATCATAACAGTGGCCAATATCTGCATGGAGGACAGGATTTACATTGGCAACCACACACATGTGTCGTGTGTGGTAGAATGTGAGATAACGGGGTCGATAGATAAAATAAACACCGTGACAGTACAAGAAGGAGAAGTGATAATATTAAGAATGTCGGTATTCTGATTTTATTCTATGTTATTATTTACTTTGTCTGTTCCATTATTTCAGTAATTCTCAAAGTCTGTAAGCAAGGATAGAGGGAAACCCACTAAAATAATATTCAAAATTTCTGTGGTCATACTGTTTATGTTAATCATGATATTATTGATAATAATGTGCTGTAATTACAGATGATAAAATTGGTTGAAAGGATTGATGTGGTGGCTGAGATAAAAGGGAATCATGAAGATTCTGATGGTGATAGTGGGCCTGTGCTGTCAGCTTGACCCACCCCAGATGGGGACTGGATAGTTAGCAATTCCAGAATTCTGGTTTGTCTTAAGTTCCTAATCACAGCTGCTGTAACAATTTCATTAAGTTATTGCACTGAACTTTATTACTCGTGTCTTATGTTTTTGTGATTGCCCAAGCCATAATTTTATTTACATTGATTCTGTCTATGTTATTTGTATTCGCTATTAAGGGCCACCTGGGTGCAATCTGACCATTTACACTTAATAAATCATAGATAAATGAGAGATCGAAAATCTTATATTCTCACTCTCAAAGATTATATTTGTGATGTTTAATGTTTTTTAAGGCTTTTAATTCTGTATTTTCTTGGTTAGTAATGGCTGAACTAATATACCGTGCAGCCGTTGTGCCTTGATGACGCTGTAATTCAGATACTCTGGCTAACAAGAATTTCTCTCTCTTCCTATCTCTGACAGTTCTTGCTGCATGCGTTCTACTTTCTCCTGACTTCTCTCCGCACAAAAATGCGCCACATACACCAACAACTGTCTGGCCAACTTCACTTTAATCCAGCTTTCATAAACTTCTTTATCTTGGTGAATTCTTACCTCCTTATAGACTCTTTGGTCATCAATGGAAGTAATCCTTCCTTGCCCGCAATCCCGAACAACTTTTTCTCGAAAGCCTTTGTAGCTTCTGTGGTCATTTTACTCTATAGGTGGATCTCAACTCTCAATCCTGATCTTGCAATACAGTTCCTTCATCTCGATCGGCTAGTTCACAACCTTGCTTTCGAAACCTATCTACATTGCTTAGTCAGTTAACTCTAGATTAATTACACCTGGCTGACCAATTTGTAAGAGATTCAGATGGAAACAACCAATACAGTTGTGTAATAATCCAAGGTTTATTAAGTAATACAAACAGCTTAATTTATTCTTAAAACTGAGATCATAGATACAGTAGAATCGATATCGATTCCACTGGGAAGTGTGCTGACCCTCTACACAAGTCCAACTATTTCAAAGTTACATTTTTTTAATGTATTCATACATATGAATTCAAGATCCTCATCCTCACCTACAAGGCCATCCATTCATGGCCTTGCTCCCTCCTACCTCTTCGACCTACTATCCCCCTACTTACCTGCCCGTACCCTCCATTCCTCTGGCTCCGGTCTGCTCCACATCCCCTACCCCAACCGCCCTACCATCGGTGGCCGGGCTTTCAACCTCTCAGCCCGAGGCTCTAGAACTCCATCCCCCAGTGCCTTCGCCGCTTCCTCCCTTTCCTCCTTCACGGCCGGTCTCAAGTTCTTTCTCTTCAACCGTGCCTTCAGCTCCACTCTCAACTCTCTACCCCCTCCTCACTCCCCTCACCCTGACCCTGCTCGGGTCCCGACCCAACTGTCCAGCGCCTTGGGACATCCTCCCGACGTGAAAGGCGCTCTATAAATGCAATCTTGTTGTTGTATTTCTAACTCCACCTCCCCTTGTCACAGAGATAGCCTCCACCCTTCGCAGGCTGCTTTGCAGAGAGAGAGATATGGACAACGTCTGGGCAGCCTTCCACAACCTGCTTGTTTTTCAGCCTTGAGATAGGCAGGTGTTGAGCCTTTTAATCAGAACCTCAACCGCTCCAGCAAAGCTACTTTTAACCCATGCTAAGCTAGTCATTAAATCAAACAAACCTTATTAAAAGGATTATGGGTAGGTTACCTTATAAACGTACATAAAGATTAATTAAAAGCCTTAAAAAATTAAACATCACAAATATATTCTTACAAAACCCTCATTCTCCCCTTCAAACCCCTCCACAGTCTTGCTCCCACCCCACCACTCCGACCTTGTTAACCCTATCAGCCTGTCCGCTCCCTCTGCTCGGAGGACACCAGCTGCTTCAGGTCCCCCGCACTTCTGGCCCCACCACTGGGGGTCAGGCTTTCAGCATCTCTGTCCCCATACTCTGAAACTCTGCAATCCCTCCACCTCACCCCCTCTCTTGCCTCCTTCAAGTCCAGTCTAAAGACCATGACTTCAGCCACCCTCCCACCCACATCCCCCCGGCCCTACACCTTTCCTGACCCAACTTGCATCTCGGGTCCAAAAAACCCTGACTGTCCAGCGCCCTGGGACGTCTTTCCGATGTGAAGAGCACTATACAAGTGTAATTTGTTGTTGTATATTTTGGTGGACCAAAGGCAAATGGCCTTCTCCTTTTGTTAAATTCATCTGATCAAAGCAGGGTGGCAGGGTCAGGTGTCAGAGGAGATGAAGGGTCGGGGGGGGGGGGGGGCTGTGTGTGGGGAGAATCTAATTAGATCCTTGATCCTTGAAAGCCATTTACATGGTAATATTTACCCAAAGAGCTCCCATCTTCTGCAATTAGGTTGCAATCCATGAATTTGAGAATTTTAAGATTGCAGCCAGGTTTCAGTTTCTGGGTGAGATGAAACAGATTCCCTCCTAAACAGTTGTTATAGGATAAATCTACTTCTTCAAGATGAGGAAGAAATGGAATGGCATCACCTGAAAACACAACAAAGGTTATTCTTCCATAATATTTCCGAATCTTATGATACTTTCTGATGCCCTGGCAAAGTCTGAATCAAACTTCTATTCCTAAAAATTCAAGCTCAATATTTTGTAAATTGTAGGTTTGATTTATGTCAGCCTGGCTCAGTTGGTAGCATTCTTACCTCTGAGTCATTGTGGGTTCAAGCCTCGGAATAGAACTTTGAACTCAAACAGTAATAATAATAATAATAATAATCCTTGCATTTGATATAGCGCTTTTCACGTCGGGAGGACGTCCCAAAGCGCTTCACAGAACACACTGTAAAGTGAATTGACTGTATATTTGTGGGCGAACGCGGCAGCCAATTGCGCACAACAATGTCCCACAAACAGTCGTACATTGAAAATGACCAATTTATTATTGTTTTGGTTTTTGGAGGGATTATTATTAGGCTCTGTGTGGAGTAAGGAAACTTGCCCAAGGTTTCGCCCTCTGCCTGGAATTGAACTCAGGTCTCTCGCTTGCAAAGCGAGTCCTCTAACCACTGAGCTACAGGACTCCAGTACAGTCCAATGCAGTGCGGGTTGTCCACCTGACATGAAAGGTACTGCTTGCTATACACGTCATTTGTTGTTGTTTTTGGGGGTGCTACCCTTCAGATGAGACATTAAACTGCAGTTTCTGTCTGTTCAATTTGACATTAAAGATCTCATGGTGCTATTTGAAAACAGAAGGGCGTTTGTCCCAAATGTTTGTTCCAGTCAATAAACGCCCAATAAAATTGATTATTCATTTCATGAGTGTTTGTGGGACATTGGTGTGGACAACTTGGCTGCCATACAAAACACAAAACATTCAACTTTACAATAAAACTTGTGAAGCGCTTTGAGATGTCCTCCTGAAGAGAAATGTCTAAACCATACATAAGGATTATTTTTATTATTTACTATCAATAAAAAGGACAGTTACAAACCAAGGTAAAAACAAGGAGAAAGTTGGCCAAAATTAGAGGGAGAAATTTTTAATTGGTAAATAAATGGATGAACAGTTTTATTGAAAAAAATAGTGCATTATAAAATTAGTATATCACTTCAAAAGGCCAGGGTTTGCTTCCTAGGTGAAGCAGGGTTGTGAAGAACAGTTAGGTGTAAAAAGGAAAAGGTAAGGGGTGGGTGGGGATGTGGAACGACGAAGGGTGTGGATGGGGGAAGAGGGACGACTGGGAGGAGGAAAGGGGGGAGACGAGGGGGGGACAAGGAGAGGGGACTATGGAATCAGGGGAGACTACAATGCCCTTACAAAGAGAGTCTGAAAGGGTATGGGCCAAGAACTGGCAAATTAGGCTTATTAAGTTTAGATAATTGCAAGATACTACATTGAGGAAGTAAAAATAAGAAATACCAGTGGATGGAATGGAACTTGCAAAAAGAGGATTCTGAAAGAGATCTTAGAGTGTTCATAACTCCGCATTCACCATTGTCAAAAATGTCTCAGCCAAAATGAACAAGGCAGAGGGGACACTGGGCTATATTACCAAATCATTTGAGTTCAGATCACTCGGCGTATATCCAGGCCCTAGTGATGTCAATGGTACATAATATATAATATAATAAAATATATAATATAATATGTAATATAACTTAATATAATAATATCAATGCATTTGATAAAGCGCCTTATCATGACTTTGAGACTTTTCCAAGCACTTAGAAGAATAAGAAATGATTAGACAAGCTAGGGTTCTTCAGTCTTTAAAGGAGAGATCTCAGAGGGGACCTTTATAGAGGTATATACATTTTTAAATAAGATAGAACAAGTAAACCCAGGTGCACCAAAACCGCAGAACAATTTTAAATTTACAAAGGATAATAGGATTTTCTTTACCGAGAAAATAATTAAATAATAATAATAATTCTTGCATTTGATATCGCGCTTTTCACGTCTTCAAGATGTCTCAAAGCGCTTCACAGAATATACTGTAAAGTGAATTGTCTGTATATTTTGAGGGCGAAATGCTTTAGCAAATTGCACACAGCAGTGTCCCCACATCATGGATTGAGTTACCAAATTATAATAATTATTTTTTAAGGGATTATAATCCCCGGGAAAGCGATCCTACAATCAACTAATAACCAGATTCCTTACTGCTAGGTAAACAGAGGCGTGCGGAGTAAGGAAATTTGACCAATGTTTCGCCCTGCCTGGGTATCAAACCCAGGTCTTCTCGGTTGTGAGGCAAGTGCTCTAACCACTGAGCTATATTTATATTTGAAACCACCTTTTCACATCAGGAGAATGTCCTTAGGCGCTGGACAGTAAAGGGATCTGCACCCTAACCCCATCAGGATGGGTGGCAGGCGGGGAGGATAGGGGTAGGAGGATGACCGAAGGCACGGTCGAAGAGGAGGGTCTTGAGATAGTTCTTGAAGGAGGCAAGGGAGGGGGCGAGGCAGAGGGACTGCGGGATGGAGTTCCAGAGAGTGGGGCAGAGAGGCTGCAGGCCCACCTGCCAATGGTGGGGGGGTACGTCGGGATACGTAAAGTAGGCCGGAACCCGCTGAGTGGAGACCAGATTAATAATAACTGCAAATATTACAATTGATATACCTCTCATCCACATGCAACACTGAAAATAGAGATACTGACTGTTACCTAGGGCTGAAACATCTGCACTTGTTAGTCTGCAGTTACTGAGACTGAGGACCTGCAGTTTCGGGATGTGCTGCATGTGTGTGGTGAGCAGCTTCAGAGATCCACCAATTAAGTCATTCCAAGACAGGTCCAACTCCTCCAGTGCTGGAAGGCAAGGGAATATTGTGGCTGCAAAATACAAATAGTGTATTTTAGTCATAACCAAAACACAATGTGTAACAAAGCAGAATATTCAATACTGTAAAAATGATACACAGTTTGTTCAGTCAATTTTTGAAGGTGAAAGTGCAGGGAGTATGTCTCAATCGGGGGCCACACTTCAACTTCAACCTCAACCTCATAGTCTAGGCTGACACTACAGTGCAGTCCTGGGGCAGGTGGGCTGCACTGTCAAAGGTGCCATAGTTTGTTAAACCAAGGTCCTGTTTGCCTAGTTAGGTGGACTCTGGTTGGTGCATTTACATATATATATACGATCACTATGTTTCATAAAAAGATTGAAGTGCTTTGAGTTGTTCTTATGGTTTTAAGCGATGTATCAAATATAAGGAATAGTATTTTAAAAGCATGCTTGATAAATGCTTTTCTAGGTGCACAAGTAACTCCATTTATTTTATTTCAGGATAAGTGTCACGTTTTCCTCACCCACAAAATATACAGTCAATTCAGTTAAGAGTATATTTTGTGATGCTCTTTGAGACGTCTCGGAGACGTGATAAGGCTCTAACATAAGCCACTTCAACCATGGAGGGCAACACATCTCAGCATGAAACGTGTAAGAGCATTGCCACCATCTTCTTGTCCACAGCTCAGCTACACAACCCGTTGGGGGATGGTTCCACAGTTGGAGGTGCGGAGTTTAAGCAGCAGCTGCTTGCCTCTCTGCTGGCCAATCAAGGTGGATTCCAGCGCTGGACATTTATGTGTCACAAACTTGGATTTTGTGGGCAAAACGCCTTCCAGCAGCTGTCGCCCTAAGCCTCAGAGTTTTCTCATCAGTTATCTTGCAGATATCTGCCTTCAATGACCAGATTAAATTTGTTATTCACTTCAAAAGTGTGGATTCCTGTAGCTCAGTGGTTGGAGCATTTGCCTCGCAAGAAAGAAACCTGGGTCAATTCCGGGCAGGGCAAAATATTGGGCAAGTTTCCTTATTCCACATGCTTCAGTTTACCTATAGCAGTAAGTAGGAACCCAGTTATTAGTCGATTGGCGGATATGATTTTCCGGGATAATAATTCCTTCAAAAAAAATTGGTCACTCAATCCATGACTGTGCACAATTGGCTGCAGTGTTTCGCCCACAAAATACACAGTCAATTCACTTTATTCTGTGAAGCACTTTGAGACGTCTCGAAGATGTGATAAGGCACTATATCAAATACAAAGATTATTATTATAACTGTTTGTGGCACTGCTGTTTTTACCTACAAATATGAGTCACTACCTTTTGCAGTAAATCCTGTAAAATGCTTTGAGATGTTTCAAATATGTGATAAGGCACTATAACAAATGCAAGGATTATTTATTCTTCTTGACAGATTGATGCAACACCTGCAGTCCAGATCTCAGTCTGCATTATGATAATACTTACATTTGATACAGCTCTGCATCACATCTTTGAGACATCTCAAAGCTCTTCACAGAATATACTGCATGTATGATACAGGTGATTTGACTATTTTGTGGGCGAAACGCAGCACCCAATTGCGCACAGCAGTGTTCCACAAACAGTCATGGATTGAGTGACCAAATTATTATTTTTGCATTGTTGGATAAACTTACCCAATTCAACAATCTCATTAGAAGTCAGCCAGCTGTTATTGAGGTTCAGGAATCTATATTGTGCCTTTTTCCCCGGCTTCTCAGTGAATTCTTTAACCTGGGCCCAACCAGCTGCATTGTTGTCTTCATGATCTGTAGAATCAATTGCACCTTTAACAAGGAAACAACAACAATCATAAATAATCTTTAATCCAGCCGTGGGGACATGAAATGCAAGGAGATAATGTTACATTTGTACATTATATTGGTTAGGCTGTAGTTGGATTACTGCATTCAGTGTTTGGCAAATTAGTACTAATAATAATAATTCTTGCTTTTGATATAGCGCTTTTCATGTCTTCTCGACGTCTCAAAGCGCTTCACAGAATAGACTGTAAAGTGAATTGGCTGTATATTTGTGGGTGAAATGCAACAGCCATTTGCGCACAGCACCATCCCACAAACAGTCGTGGATTGAAATGACCAAATTATTATTGTTTTGTTCTCTTGAGGGATTATTATTAGCGTGTGGAGTAAGGAAACTTGCCCAAGGTTTCGCCCTGCTGGGAATCGAACCCAGGTCTCTCGCTTGGCAAGCGAATACTCTAACCACTGAGCTACATTTATGGTATGCTATGTTATGTTATATTTATGTTATGGGTTTGATAACATAAATTGATCATTGAGTAATTAATCAATTTTTTTTCAGTGCAACAGTGACACATGGCTTCCTTCTGTACTATAGACTTTCTACGACAAAGTCGAGAGAATGGCGGGTAGGAGATTTTATGGACAACAAACTAACCCCAAACCTCCTTTCCATATAATTACAAGACCCTTGGTCAGCATGATATACAATAGAAAATAGTCAGTTTGCAAAATACTGTGTTAAAATCCTGAATTTGCAGAATTCAAAGCTTGAATTTCCTAGAAAAAATCTTTTGTAATTTTAAGAAAACAGCTTTTGCAGTGCTATTTAGTTATGGTACCTGGTGTCTTTGAAATATTATTTTCTAAATCAGGTACTATTTCTCCCTCTTCTTCTTTTTCAACTCTTTCTGGGACATTCTCTGTTTCATTGGATTTCTCTGATGTAGTGTTAGAAAAGCCAAAGAAACGTGATACTGATGGGTGTGACCCTCTCTCAGCAAAGGATGTCTTTCTCCAGATCTGCTTCAGGAAAAGATCAAAGGGCGATTTGGACTGCTTCTCAATACTCTCCTCCTGCTGCCGTTTGGAATCTAAAAGAAATCTCAAAGGTTAGAAATAAATAAATGATTTTGCCACTGGAGAGATGTTCTATGGAGAGCGGATAGCAGCCAGATAATAATAATAATAATCCTTGCATTTACTATAGCACCTCAACACATCTTTGAAACATCTTAAAGCGCTTCACAGGATATACTGTAAAGTGTAGTTTGTGAGTGAAACATTGAGACAGCTTGTTGGTAGCATGTTTTTTTTAAGAGTAGAACAATTTGAGAATGGCCTAAAGAGACTTGGTTTATCTCATCAGTTCCGAGTTCTACAACTAACATTGAAGAAAAAAAATACCCATGTTTTCCATAAATCAAATCGCTTGGATGCTCCAGACTCTTTCATCCACACCTTAAATGAAGAAAACAATGTTGATTTTATCAGCATTGAGCTGCAAATATTTTGCACAGAAATACACAATCATTGTAACATACAGTTACAATGATTAAAAGATAATATTTTAAGCATTAACATAAAATCATAGCATTTTACAACTCAGAAGGAAGCCATTCTCCCTAAAAGTGGAACACATTAGACCCACCGCCCTGTCCTTTTCCCATCCTTTATATATTAGTTCTCGAATAGTTATCCAAATTCTACACCTATATTATAGCACACTGAATAATACTCACACTGTCAGTCGGTGGACGGGATTCAAAATACAAAGTAACCCTAATGTGGATCAGTATAAACAACTTTTTACCTTTTTATGTTTATTTTGATTCAACAAAAACAACATCCATTTACCCTTCATAAATAATAATATTAATCCTTACATTTGATATAGCACTTGATCTTGTCATTGAGACAAGATCAAAGCGCTTCATAGATTATATTGTAAAGTGGGTTGACTGTGCATTTTGTGGGCAAAACACTGTAGCCAATTGCACCCAGTAATGGCCCACAACCAGACTTGGATTGAGTGACCAATGTTTTTTTGAGGATTATTAGCCCCCGGAAAGCGATCCACCAATCGACGAACAACCGGGTTCCTGCTTATTGCTGGGTAAACAGAGGCATGTGGAGTTGCCTAAGATGTTGTCCTGCCTGGGAATCGAATCCGGGTCCTCTCACTTGTGAGGGTGAGCGCTGCAATACGGGACTGCAATAAGAGTATACATCTTGGATGCATTTTTAATATTGTACATAATCAAGGCATAAACATTATGATTACTTCCCTTCCCTTCTGTATAGTTTAGATCTGCTTAACTTGTGAATCAATCACTTTCAACGTTATTGAAGGATGTTGATAGCTGATAGCAAATTAAGAAAGGAAGTGAAAATGTAGATTTGTGTGTCATCCATATACACATGAAAGTTAACCCCACGTCTGCAAATGACGTCCTCCCACCCCCGCCCGGTCATCTGCTGTGACCCCAGGGCTCCACCCTTGGCCTCTTCTTTCCTCATTTATATGCTCCCTCTCGGTCATGCCATCCGCAGACCCGGGGTAAACTTCCACATGAATGCGGATGACACACAAATCTACTTTGCCAGATTCGACTCCAGGTCTTCCTATGTTCTATCAGCTTGTCTGGCAGACATCAGGGCCTGGAAGTGTAAACTTCCTGCAGCTGAATATGGACAAGATGGAAGCCATACTCCTTGGCTCCTGTCAACATTTTCACTCCTACGGAGCTAAACTCCTCAACCTCCCTGGACTCTCCCTCAGACTCACTGAACCAGTGTGTAATCCAGGTGTCTGGTTCAACCCCCAGCTGTCCTTCCTCCCCCACATCCAGTTCCTGACCAGGACCGGCTTCCTCACCTCTGCCACATTGCCCGTCTCCGACCATACCTTACCCCAAATGCAGCCGAAACCCTTGTGCATGCATTTGTCACCTCCCACCTGGATTACTCCAACGCACTCCTCGCTGGTCTCCCCATCTCCACTATTCAAAAAATCCATCTTATTCAGAACTCTGCCGCCCACATACTGTCCTGGACCAAACTCCGTCCCCACATCTCACCAGCGCTGTCCCAGACTCCACTGGCGCCCCATCACCAAACAGATCGACTTCAAGATCCTCACTCACGTGTTCCATTCCCTTCACTCCCTGGAACCTCCCTCCCTCTCCGACCCCCTCACTCTCCCCAATCCACTACCTGGCACCTCCGCTCGACTGGCACTGGCAGAAGCTCATCCCTCGCACCCGCCGCCCCACCATCGGAGGTCACGCATTTAGCTTCTATGCCCCAAAACTCTGGAACACTCTCCCTCAATCCCTCTGCCTTGCCCCCCCTCTCCCCCTTTTCAAGTCCCATCTGAAAACCTTCTTTTTCAACAACAAAAAAAATTACATTTATAAAACGCCTTTCATGCCGGGAGGACGTCCCAAAGCGCTGAGACTGTAATTATGGTCACCTGCACCCCATGGCTTGGAGTTAGGCTCCACCACTGTTAAGCGCTTTGAGACGCTAGCCTGTGTGAAGGGCGCTATATAAGTACAAGTTGTTGTTAATTTAAAAAAATGATCTTCCTTTTCTAAAGATTATCTTTGAATCATTGCAGTTAAGGGGCACACTTAAAACAACGCTTGTTTTGGAGTTGGGATGGGGAGGAGGTGTGCAACAAAGAGGCATCATATGTTTCATCAGAACCCAACAAATGATGAGATTTATTACAATATGTTTGTGTGCTTAAAGAACTTCCTTAATTACTATATTTTCTTTAAAATAGTGGCCTTTTAAGGATAGTTCACCAGTTATAAGTTAATAATACCTATAAACCATTTGGGGAAATATTCCTTCGGAAGTGAAATCAAGTAGAACATATCAACTGTTAAACTAAACAGTACAAATATATTCGTATCATATGCAGTTTTACAACATCGATTTTGTTGAAAACCAAGTTTCTATGTCTTCGTTTAAAACTTCCTTATCTTACCTCAAAACCTTCATACATCACAGTGTTTTAATCCAAGGACCATCTCGGGGACAGTGGTGTATAATTATATTATTTGATAAATACTGACGGATAAGTTGTAATGATTACAGTGCATCAATCACTCCATCACTCACTAAAGACACAAACTTTTCTTTACCGATATTTTCGTAGAAAAACGATACACAAACTGCTGTTATTTTGAACGTCACTTCAGTTATTAATAGATCTAATCGCTAAACCCAAGTTTATTTCATAGATTTCCTGATCCCAATCCGGGTTCAAACCCTCGGGTATGAATGACATTAGATTTGTGTGCGGATCCCCCGCACTCACCTGCACTGCGGGTCCTCTCGGCTCCGGTGGGAATACGGCACTGCACTGAGTGACCAGGAAGTCACTGTCCGACACACAGGGAATCATTCCGGGAACTTCCCTGAACTAAGGATACCCACAGCGCACACCGCACCGCACCGCCACCGCCACCGCCCGCACCGTACACACCGCACCGCACCGCCACCGCCCGCACCGTACACACCGCCACCGCCACCGCCCGCACCGTACACACCGCACCGCCACCGCCACCGCCACCGCCCGCACCGTACACACCGTACACACCGCCACCGCCCGCACCGTACACACCGCACCGCACCGCCCGCACCGTACACACCGCACCGCACCGCCACCGCCACCGCCCGCACCGTACACACCGCACCGCACCGCCACCGCCACCGCCCGCACCGTACACACCGCACCGCCACCGCCCGCACCGTACACACCGACACCGCACCGCCACCGCCACCGCCCGCACCGTACACACCGCACCGCACCGCCACCGCCACCGCCCGCACCGTACACACCGCACCGCCACCGCCACCGCCACCGCCCGCACCGTACACACCGACACCGCACCGCCACCGCCACCGCCCGCACCGTACACACCGCACCGCACCGCCACCGCCACCGCCCGCACCGTACACACCGCACCGCCACCGCCCGCACCGTACACACCGCACCGCACCGCCACCGCCACCGCCCGCACCGTACACACCGCACCGCCACCGCCCGCACCGTACACACCGACACCGCACCGCCACCGCCACCGCCACCGCCCGCACCGTACACACCGCACCGCACCGCCACCGCCACCGCCGCACCGTACACACCGCACCGCCACCGCCCGCACCGTACACACCGACACCGCACCGCCACCGCCACCGCCACCGCCCGCACCGTACACACCGCACCGCACCGCCACCGCCACCGCCCGCACCGTACACACCGCACCGCCACCGCCCGCACCGTACACACCGACACCGCACCGCCACCGCCACCGCCACCGCCCGCACCGTACACACCGCACCGCACCGCCACCGCCACCGCCCGCACCGTACCGCACCGCCACCGCCCGCACCGTACACACCGCCACCGCCACCGCCCGCACCGTACACACCGCCACCGCACCGTACACACCGCCACCGCACCGCACCGCCACCGCACCGCACCGCCACCGCACCGCCACCGCCCGCACCATACACACCGCACCGCCACCGCCACCGCCCGCACCGTACACACCGCACCGCACCGACAGCAACAAGAACACAAAACAAGAACAGGACACAGTACAAGTCCACAAACTGTCAACTTCATAACCACATGGATTCGAATTGAGAGGAGAAAACAGCGCGAGATTCAAAACTATTGTATTGATTAATGCGCGTTCCACCGACTAAATAAACACAAGCGTTTTGAATTTGGGTTCTCACTGTGTGTTATCCCCCAATCACAGCACCGGGTGATCACCGACTCTCGTATCTAAATGACCTTTTCTCCGCTGAATCCTTCTCTTTCTTGAACATTATTTTTTTACCATCGCTCTCCTTAAGGTCTTCATTGACGGCCCTCATCTCCTGGTGTGTTTGACGCAGAAATATCCCGTCAGAGATTTAATGTACTGCGTAAAGGTCGGAGGTCAGCAATGCAGATTCTAGGAATACGAAAACTGAGAGGGAAAGAGATAGAGTGCGTCAGAGAGAGACTGAAAGGAAGAGTGAGAAAAACGAGAGAGAGACTGTGAGAGACAGAGACACAGAGAGAGAGAGAGACAGAGAGGTGTGTTGTGCTCAGTCTGGTGTCTGGGCCATGGGGACCCCACACCATGTTTGGGTAATCTGCCACTTTATAAATCACTGCTGCGATCGCCAGAATACTGTGTGCAGTTCTGGTCACCTCAATATAAAAAGGATATTGCTGTGATTGAGAAGATGCAGAAGAAAGCCACCAAAATGATTGAGGGGGTGGAGGGACTGGACCATGAGGAACGATTAGATAAACTGGGCATGAAGCTTCAGGGACAATATCATTATGATCTTTAAGATCCTGAAGGGAATAGGTAATGAAAACCATAAAAAGCTGTTTTCAAACCAGAGTACACAGCCTCTGACCAAAAGCATCATTTTGCCCCTCGGGCTCAAGGAAATATATTAAGTCCCGAGAGGAGAGATGTTACTTGAGCAGCGTTCATCGAGAAAACACTTTCAAGTCAATATTTTTGATTCTTGGCAGGCGGTTTTTGTTTTGGGTCTCGGAGATGCCAACCCAAGGAGTTGGTGGGTTTCCAGCTGCAATTGGAGTTAGTTGTTTGTTTTTGGATTTAATTAGGAATTCTTAAACTGGTTCTGCTTTTCTGTGCTTAAGAAAGAAACCAATGAAAACTTGACCACCCAAGGTTACAATCCAGGTAATAATAATAATAGTAATAATAATAATCC